CTCCAAGGAGCTAGCTTTCGTGACTACTACAATGGGTTATATAGTATCCATTCCTTCATTCCTAGCCAACCAAGGGTAAGACAAGCAAGGACGTAGGGTGGCTCAGCGAGCTCCTTCTGGAGCTTCCATGCGCTTGCTCTCAAGAGTACACTCTGCTATGGCGACACCAGCCAGTGCATCACACTCCCAAAGAAAACTTGCGGAGTTTGCCTGGGCGCTTTTCTCCATCAGCCCCTGCAAACAATTTTCTGTCAGGGGCTAGCATGTGCTCCATGCTCTCGTAAATCTTTTCTCGCTGCCTTAATGTGATCAAGGCGTTGTTGAAGCTCAGCTATCAGAGAACCTGACGTACGGGCGCTCAGCCTCATGTTGCAAGCTGCCACCACAGGAATTCCCACCTTCGCCTACGCTGCTTGCTTGGTCTTGGGCTGCGGTATGCAGGCCTAGCTGATCAAACTAAGTCAAACGATTTGATAGTTTGAGATAGCTGCTCATACGCTACAAGACATGAGATGCTGGGCTTTTTCAGGCTCGCACATGAACAGGACCTTATCTTGATCAATTTGCTGCTTGATCAGCATTAGCCACACTGTGGGCTCGAAAAACTCAGATTCTCACAGCATCGCAGCCAGGAAGCTAGGACACCAAGTTAAGAATGCCATGCTCGAGCACAGGCGCATGGTTATACTATTTTGGGCTGTGACAGCAGGATCTGGGACCTTCCTCCCTGGCAGTATAGTTCAGGACAAGCATTTCTAACATCCCTTGAGTGGGGGGGGGGGGTCGCCACAATAACGAGTGTAGTATATTTTGGTCTATATTGGGGTCCCCTTCTTTTGGGAAACTATCTGTGAGGTGTTGACGCTGACGGGTGCAGCTCTATCCTGTCAGATCCAAATCTTTGAGGCTGGCTTTTGATCCACTGTGGGAGGGCAAGGCAAGACATCCATTTTGCGTGCTCTTCGGTTCCCAGAAGTCAATCAACGTGAGATTGAAGGCTGTTGGGCTGCCTTGGAGTCAGCATTTTAACGCTGGCGAGTGTCGGCAGTGGGCGGCCGCCGCTTGTTACGACCAAGCCACAGCTGACACCTGTGGAATCAAACGCCTTTCTACTGAACCCATTTGAGCTATAGTCTACACTCCTAGTATCCTCCTTAATAACCCCTACAGTAGTCCCATATATAATCCCTTTTATAACCCCCTTTCAGGAGTTTAGACTGTAGCTCATTTACTTTTATGATCTTTTATGCTGACCTGGAGTATGATCCAATGTGGTAGGTTCCTCAAAACATAGACCCCAAAATATTATGGTCCTTATTATGGGGAACCTCAGAAAGGTAACCCTAATTTTGGGAACCCCCCCCCCCATGTATGGGTTGAAGCAGTCAATCATTCAGCAATGCATGGTTCGCCGCTGATGTAGCAAGCGATCGGCTGAGGACAGCACCACAGAGTTTGAGACGTCAAACTGGGACTTGCAGAAGGATTTCACCTTCAAGTCGTAGCAGAAAACAATGGCTGGGGGTACATGGGGACATGGAAACGTGAAAGTTTGCCTTATTCCTGCTGAAGTATACCGGAACCTGATCTAGTAGGGATTCGGATCATAGCGATCCAACTCGGGTTGCACACTCCCTGAATCCGCTGATGTGGTGCGATCTGAATCCTGACAGTACTGGGCCTTCTGAGGCAGCAAGCCGAAATCCAGCTCAAAGCGATATCTATAGGCCTGAAAGGACTGGCACAAGATGCCAAGAAGGCCAAACATGCGCCGCTGAGCGCGCTGACTCGGATTAGCTGCTGGACATGGCATCGCCTCGCCAAGGCTCCAACTAAACCAACTCGTCTCTATCTTTTTAGGAAGCTTGGTGCTGCACTGAGTTGGTGTGAAGGGTTTTTCGCTGTTCAGGTCCTGTGGCAAGGTCGGTAGTTCCTATTGTCAGTCCGGAAGGGAAGCTGGATAGCAAGATTTTCAGCTGCGTGCTTGTTTTTTGAGGGCCTCCAGCCTTTCGAAGACCCTCCTCATAGCGAAGCGCCCCGCCGGGAAGCCTGACCGTCAAGGTTGTCAGTTGTAGGGAGTCAAAGCAGAAAGCAATTGCACTGCCTTGGCCCGACTCATCGCTGGGCAGCTCGTGCCCCCTGGAATGAAAGAGCGCGAGCAAGCTTGGAGGTAGGGTTTTTCTGTACGCATGTCTGAGCTGCTTACAAACCTTTCGCGAGGTCCAACGCATCTAGCTCAACCAAACACCATGATGCCTGGACGCGCGAAATGGAATTGCTACAAGACAAGGTACCTTGACCGCTATACGGCATGGCCTGAGTCAGTGGATGCACCGGATAAGTGTCGAGGCTGTTGAAAAATCGCTCGAAAAGCAAGACCTTTGCCAATGCATCGAGCTCAGTATGTGATTTTTTTGTGATGGGCAATACCTTGCAGAAGACGAAGCAGAGACTAGTAAGATTCTCACGCTACACATCGCTACAGGAAATTCCCTCCAACAAGCTCAGAAGCCATCGTTTCACGCACGTTTTCATGCTCAGCGATTGCTTGCGGCTTCAGTCTCTGTGCTTGACACCTTCACGCTTCCTTGCAGAAATATCTTCTCTTCCTCACTGATGCATAGTAGCGGACAGTCTTCAGACAAGGTTCCGACGCAGTTGTTAACCTGACAAGTTGTCCCAAGAGCAGTGCAAGAGACAGGCTCGAATCGTATGCATCCTATGTTCACATTAGCTCAACAAATCGTGATTCATTTCAGTGTTTGTGATTTGCCTGACTAACCCTCCCATTAATAATGAACTCACCGCCCCCCCGAACGATAAACTTCCCCACCATGATGTAACAGCACTGTACCGTACTTCGGGGTATCTACGACTCCTAAACCCTAAGCCCCAAGCCCCAACCCTAAATACTAAACCCCAAACCTGAAAGCCTAAACCCCAAACCCCTAAACCCCAAACGCAACCCCTAGGTGGAGGGATTAGGTCTGGGTAGCTGTCTCCTCCCACTGAGGTCCGTAGTGAGGGAAGATAGCCCTGTCGACTAAGGCAAGGCCTGCCTCGAAGGGATTATATGGAGGTTTCCCAAAATTAGGGGTTCAAATTTGGGGTGTCCCCATAATAAGGATTATAGTATATTGGGGTCTATATTAGGGTCCCCTTATTTTGGGAAACTACCATATAGGGATGTATAGGGATTATATGGGATTGTAGGGATATTGTCTCCAATATTAGCGATTTTGTAGGGATAATGGAAAAATGTACTTTTCAGGGGATACTACCATAGTAATGGAGAATTGAAGGAACGAGAACATGGAAAATTAATGGAAACCGGGATTATAAAGTGGTTCACGTGGCCGAGGATTTCCAAAAATCTGCGGCCACTTTGTGGGAATCCCTTGTAATTAGGATTCTGGCCTATTGATGTCTCACGTGGGCCCCCTGCTTGTGGAACCCCTCAAATTTGAAAAGGGGTCAAGGAGGGACTCAAAGGCGAACTGAACATGCATATCAACATGTAGCCCATAAGCTGGTAATAAATTCCTTTAAACAATTCACAACACCTGGCTTACTCTAAGTGGAATGACATAAAACCCTAAATATTAGACACTAAATAGTAGTTTCCAATTTTTCCATTTTCTCATTATGTCCCCTACATAAACCCTGTAATCCCTATAGTTTCCTTTCCATTTTCCATTATCCCAATATATTCCCTATACAATGATAGCTTCCATTTTCTCTTCCATTAATTATCCCAAAACCCTAAACTATATGACCCCTATATACCCCAGCCAAGCAAGCCAAGAGTCTAGGCTTTGCTGCAGGGACTCGCTGGGAACCACAGTTGGATCATCCCAGCCCTTCCAGTATGATATAGGGAGTATTAAGGGATTATGGGGGTTGTAGAGATTATTAATATAGGGGGTTAAGGCTTTAAGGGTTTTAGGTTTCTAGGACTTGGATCATCCCAGCCCTTCGAATATGATATAGGGGTTGTATGGTAGGTTCCCAGAATACGGAGACCCATAAATAGACCCCAGCCCCATTAAGAGGACCCCCAACATGGTACCCTTAATTTTGGGAAACCCCCAAATGGAAAAGAAAATGGAAACTACTATCTTTTTTACAACCCTTCCGACTTTTGATGTCTGCTCGCTGAGGGGTATAGGGTTTTAAGAGTTTCGGGTTCTAGCAGTTGGGAGCATCCCAGACCTTCCAATATGCCGTATTGCAGGTTTTGCCAGACAAGATGGCACCAGCTGAAACACCAACGTACCTGGGTTTAGGGTTGCAGGGTTTAGGGCTTTAGGGTCTAGGGGTTTTGTTCGCGCGTCCGCTGAAGGACTGGCTGTTATGTTGGTTAAGGATGCTATCCCCTGTTAACCTAAACCCTAAATCGTAGCTAGCTTCCATTTTCTCTTCCATTATCCCTGTACGAAGATAACTGTATATTACCCTATGTCGTCCCAATATAACTCTATATCACCATATATCATCCCGACTAGATCCATTCTCAGAAAAAACAGCTGTTGAAAGCCAGGTCTCGCAAACGCAGTCGAGGCCCGCAGATCCCTCAAAGCAGCTGCCAGGCCGGCCCGCTGCCTGGGCCAACAAGAGATAAACTACTCTAGAATATGGGGATTAGGGTTTAGGGGTTAGAGTTTAGGGATTAGGGGGTGAATAAAAGGAGAATGGAAAAGAACATGGAAACTACTATTGTATATTGGGGTTATGTAGGGATAATTGGAAAAGAACATTGAAACTACTATTTAGGGTTTAAGGCTTAGGGACGCAACATCAGCTTGTTTTGCAACCTGGCTGCGCATGAAACCACAGCCTCGGATAGTACTAGGGATGATGGAACAGAACATGAAAACTATTGTACAATAATGGGGTATATATCGGCGTTATAGCGGGGAATAAGGAAGATATTCTCTAGTATGCCTGCCCCTCTGCACTTTCTACGCGGACGCGCAGCTAGAGTAAAGTTGCACAGCGGGTTTGGGAATTTGGGAACCAAGGAGCCAAAACGTGTTGCCACCGTCTACGAACAGAATTCCACGACCATCATGTCCCAGGGCAGCTTTCAAGGCTTCGCTGAGCCTCTCTGCTGCACCTCGTGCATGTTTTGAACTCTGATGCTTTTGGACCCAATCTACTTACTGGTTCTTAGTAGGGAATGAGGGATGATAATCCCCAGCAAGTATAGGATTGCCTTCCAGACCCTCGTGACCCTGCCTTCTTCTGAGTCCTTGGCCATGTCCTGACATGATGGCATGCTTGCAAGGATGTTGCACTGTTTCTATACGTTCTGGCCAGCTGTAGCTTTGTGCCGTGTAGACAGCTTCACTGTTTATCACTGCTCATACTTGGCATGTGCCTCAATAATACTCAATAATCACTTTGTCGCACTCTTCTCTTCGGCAGGGACATCTGCGCTGGCTCAGACTCTCGATGATTATGGTTCTTGAATTTCGTCTAGCCCGAGTGCACCAAAAATGCGCGCCAGCCGTTCTAGTTACGTCAAAGGAAATCATTGATTGCGCTACAGTTATAGCAGTTGACAGTTACCTTGCCCCAAGCTGCATGGTTCACGGTCCTCAAGGAAAATGTGCTCAACACTCGAGGCTGCCAAAGCTTGACCCAATAGTTTCGAGCGATGCCTAGCTTCGTATCGCCGCTTTTTGCGCTGATCTTTCAGCGGCCTGTCAGAATCTTTGCGTGGTGCCGTTCTTGCGGTCCCGATGTAGGCCAGCCTGGGGCCTTCACCAATGTCCAGCAGCTTCAAGATCGCATCAGAATCTGCTGGCTCTATACTTGATGCCAATAACAATTGAATTGAGGATGACGGGTTGCACTGCCGCTTGCTGGCAAATGCTCTCTGCGTTCTTGCAGGAGAATAGTTCGCAAAGCATCGTGGGAATGCGCTGGCTGTCGCTTCCAAATGCCAGAACACCGCCGAGCTGACCAGCCTTGGGGAGCCGCTTGCCACGACTAGAGCTTTTAGGTAGTTTTTAGGTAGGCCTGTGCACAAACTCCACCTACAAGGCAATCCAATGATGCCTCATGTTGCGGCCAAACAACAACTGCCCACAAAGCAGCAGCCGCCGCCGCAAGGCTACATCAGGCGACAGCGCGCCCAAGGAGAGTCTTGCGGCAAAGGCCGCCATCTACAAGCTGAAGCAAACAAGATCTTGTTGCTGATGCAGAATGTGTTCGTAGGGCTTGTATGTTCTCTTGTTGGTGGGGTCCTCCAACATTCCATGCTGCTGACTGCTGGAGCAAAAGCTTTTTCCTTTGCATCTTGACCCAAACGGCGTACATGGTACGTCTGCTTGAATGACCTGCTGCGGCATCTAAGGTGCTGACTGTCTACCTGGTTACCATGCAAGCAGCTACGACAGTGAGTGACAGTGCCACCTGAGACATCAGGACCCGGCCAGCAACTGCTCGTGACCTGACGTGCCACGTCCGCCACTTCCAGAGAGTTTCCATGGCAAGAGAGCTGACACCTTTCGTCCAAGCTTCCAACTGAAGGTGCTTCGCCGCCTCATCGCATCCAGCACCTTGGCCCGACAACTTCTGCTGTCCAAAGAGTTGTCACTGGTTTGCACGCCCCAGTCGCATTTGCTCCAATCCACTCTTGATGGGCTACTTCGGTTTTTTCGATATTCAAAGGAACCATAGTTTCAACTCCTAGCATCCCCCTTAGTAACCCCTATAATACTCCCCTATATGATCCCCTGAATGAGTTAGATGATACCTTGCCCATTCAGGTGTATGGCACCACCCACCCCCACCTTAGGACAAAAAATCTATCTTACGATCTCAGCCCCAAAAATCCAACCTAAGTTGCACCCCTCTGACTGAATAATCTCCTTTAAGGAGTCTAGACTATGGCTCAAAAAGCCAATACGAATGAATAAGGCAGGCCTGAATACTCTTAGGCGTCCCGCCTGTGCGACGGCCTTGGGTTCCCAGGCCTCGAGCCGCTATATTATAGTATTTGATAATAGACAATAGAATATTATGGTATATTTCTGTCTATTGCAGTTTATTCTAGTATGTTGTAGTATATTATTACTGTATATTCTAGTATGTATTTTGTGATTTGAACAACTTGGCTGAAATGATCAAATGTCTTAACCAGGCCTCTGAAGGACGCTTGGCCAGCTCCCCGAACATGGCGCCATAAACCCTTGGAGTCTCTTAAAGTATATGTATGATATAGTCATAGTGTAAACCCATGACAAATAAACCCCCTCCTTTTAAGGGCCTAAATAGTGAGATCTCTATTATAATCCCTTTTAAGAGGAGGGGGTTTATTCATCTGGGGTCTGGGTTAGTATTCAAACATTATACTACAATATGAGCTGTAGTCTAAACTCCTAGTATCTGCCTTATTAACCCCTATAAGACTCCCCTATATAATCCCCCATGTAACCCGCTTAAAGGAGTTTAGACTATAG